TAAGTGGATTTTGGGCTACAGTTTGGCATGCAGTCTCTCTAAAAGGTTCGCCATCACTGCTCTGGGTCTGTAACCCTACCTGTACGTGAAATTGACTTTCTCAGGTCAATGCCATTGACCTGGAAAGCAGAACAGGGTTTGCTGTCCAGGTGAAACCAAGTGCTGTGTTTCTCTGCAGGAGCACCAGGGAGATGGCAGAGCTCAAGGATTTCCTGAAGCAGCTGCAGCCAGGAGCCCTGGGGCGTTCAGCCCGCATGGTGCTTTCTGCTGCCCGCAGGGCGCCTTCAGCCAGTTTAACAAACCCAGAGAACAACCACGCAGACCCAGGTCCCAGTCAGCGAGAGTGTCAAGGTGAGGCCCCATTTTCGGGCAGGGTATCTACTACAGGCCGGGCATTGGAGGTATGAAGGCACTTTGAAATATATTAAACGTTCTACCAGGCATTTCATAAATTTTTTTTTTTTTTATTTTTGATATGGGAATCAAACTCAGGGTCTTACACTTGCCAGGCAGGCACTGTGCCACTGAGCTATATCCCTGGCCCCATAAATTCTGAATAACTAGCCAAACAGTGATTGTTGGTTTTGTTATTATTTGACAGATATTTATTGAACATCTCTTAATGTGCCGGGCTTGGTGTGGTGCCAGGGATACCGGAGTAAATAAATAGCAATGTTCCCATCCTAATGTAAAGACACATGGCCATGTCACATAATTTAAAACTGCACCTGTGATAAGTATTTGAAGAAAAAGCATAATAGGATGACTAGGTTTAAATTTGAGAATCAGGGAAAGTCAGAAAGAATTAAGCAGGCAAAGAAGGTAGAAAAAATATTCTTAGGAGAAGTGACGTCCATGCAAAGGCCTCTGTTAATGATTTAATGAGCATTAAATGAGGTTTTAATTTAAAAAACAACTCTGCATTAACATCTTACAGAGCCCAGAGCAGAGGAGCAAAACTCCGAGAATGACGGGCGCAGGAAGAAGCGGCGGAACGTGCATCACAGGTGAGTAGGTCAGCAGGAAAGGCCCAGCTCCCCTCCCCAGACCTGACGACCCCTCTGCAGCTGTCCTTCCTCCCCTACTCTTGTTTCCGTTAGGGCAGGATGGCCTGGGGGCTGGGCTGCGATCTCTTAGTCCAGAGCTGAGTGCAGACAAGAAAATGCCCTTGTCCACACCTTATCAGACCTCGAGGGAGGCCGGGAGGCAACCTACTGACCCAGAATCTGAAGATGATTCCTTCATGGACTTCATCAAAATGTAAATCTTAGCCAGGCAGCATGGTACATGACTGTAATCCCGGCACTCCGGGAGGCTAAGGCAGAAGGATCACAAGTTCAAACCTTGCCTGAGCTACTTAGCGATTTAGACCCTATCTCAAAGTAAATACATGAAAAAATGGCTGGGAATGTAGCTCAGAACAGAGAGGGGGAGAAAAGCAGTGATCACACTTGCTAGGATGGCTATAATAGTTTTAAAAAGATGCACAATGACAAGTATTCAAAAAGATATAACAAAATTAGAACTCCCATGCACTGCCAACATAAAATAGTGCAACTGCATTGGAAACCTTTTGTCAATTCCTAAAAATACCTAAAGTTACCATATGTTACACCTAGAGTTACCATGTGACCCAGCAATTCTAGACCTGATATCTATCCGCAGGTTTTCCTTCAAAAACTTACAGACAAATGCTCACAGCAGCATTATTCCTTGTTTATTTTTATTTTTATTTTGTTTTGTTTTGTTTGAGACAGGGTCTTGAGCCAGGTGTGGTGGCACACACCTGTAATCCCAGCACTCAGGAGGCTGAGGTAGGATCATTGCAGAGTTCAAGGCCAGCCTGAACTGCATAGCAAGACCCTGTCTCAAAAAAACAAAAAAAAAAAAAAAAAAAGAAAAGAAAAAGAATGAGACAGGATCTCTCTATGATGCCTAAGTTGGATTTAAACTCCTTGGCTTACATGACCTTCTACTACAGCCTCCTCAGTTACTGGGACTACAGGCACAGACACCGTGCCTGGCCCTCGTGTCATTATTCATAATAGCCTGAAATCTAAAACAACCCAAATGTTTATCACATAATGAATGAATGAATGAATGAAGTGTAGTATTCCTAATCAATAGAATATTAATCTATGTATGGAATATTATTCATCCATGAAAAAGGAATGCATCCATGAAAAGGAATTCATCCGTGAAAAAGGAATATAGTACTGATACCTTCTCTAATGTGGATGAACCTTAAAAACATCATGTTAAATGAAAGAAATCAAGCACAAAAGATCAAATACTGGGTTTGTTGTGTTGTTTTGTTTTGTTTACAGTGCTGAGAATTGAACCCAGAGCCCTGAGCATACTAGGCAAGTGCTGTACCACCAAGATGCATCCTCAGCCCCCCACGTATTGTATGATTCCATTTATATGGAATGGCCAGACTAAATGACAAATACATAGAGACAGAAAGTAGATTAATGGTTGCCCGGGACTACAGGGATAGAGAAATGCAGAGTGACTGCTAAAAAGTTTCAGAGTTTCTTTTGAGGGTGATAAAAATATTCTAGAATTAATTATGGTCACTCAACCTAACAAATATTCTAAATTTAAGCTTTAGAAGGATGAATTTTATGGCATTGGTATAATAACTCAATTTTTAAAATAATTAAAAATCTGACAGCAGCTAAACATGCCTGTAATTCCAGCTACTCAGGAAGCTGCAGCAGGAAGATCACAAGTTTGAGGCCAGCCTCAGCCACTTAGCAAGACCCTATCTCAAAATAAAGTTTAAAAGGGGCTAGGAATGTACCTCAGTGGTGGAGCATGAGGCCCTGGGTTCTATCCCCAGTACTGCCCCAAAAAACCTGAAAATAGTAATAGAAGCTCTCTTGTGAGATGTTCAAAGGTTAAATGACTTCCTGCAAGTCTGGTATATCAAGTGGGAAAGCCAGGATTCCCGCGGAGGTTATTGTTTCCATATTAACATTCCATATCCGCTTTGCCCTGATTTGAGGCTCCTTTAGCCCATATGGCCTTGCTAATAGCCAGTGTTGTTTTCCATATTTTGTTTGTTTGTTTTTTAGCAGTACTGGAGATTGAACCTAGAACTTTCACACTAAGATATATTCTCAGCCCTTCAGCCCCTGTGTGTGTGTGTGTGTGTATTATCTTGTTTTGAGATAGGGTATCACTAAGTTGCCCAGCCTGGGCTCAAACTTGGGATCCTCCAGACTTAGCCTTCCAGAGTGCTGGGATTACAAGCATGTGCCACCACACCCGGCAATAGCTGGTTGTTGTTTTGGTTTTGTTTGGGGTTTTTTTTTTGCAGGGGCGGGTTGGTTTTTTGAGAAAGGATCTTGCTATGCAGTTCAGGCAAGCCTTGAACTCACTATGCATGCAAGGCTGGCCTCAAACTCCCTGTGATCTTCCTGCCTCAGCCTTCTAAGTACTGAGATTACTGGCATGTGCCACCACACCCAGCCTGCTGGCTGTTAACTGTTGTTTTTCACAGATCCCTGGCCAACTCAAACTCTCAATCAAAAAGAAGAACACCAAGAGCAAGGCAAAGAGCACATCGACCCCAGTCCCAAAACAATGGCGTCCAGGATAGGGGACAGTGCCCCATTTGTGCAGGTGAGCTGGGAGGTGGCTGTGTGGTCACTCTACCCTGCTTGAGGGAGGAATAGGAAATCTGGAGGCTGCTGTCAAGAAGCATTTGGATGTGGACTCCTGGCCTCGGGCGTCTGTGCAGTCCCTACATCTGTAACTGTACCGTTAGTCAAATGTAACTCAAGGGAAGTCTGTCTGGAGCACCTGCTCACGTTGTGTTGGCAAAGCTGAGGAAGAGACATGGCCCTGCCCTCAGCAAAACACGAAACTAGACAGTATGAAACACTGTCGGGGAGAATTTCCTTTGTAACTGCTTCCTCCTTGTCCAAATTCTGCTTACACTTTAAGACTCTCTTAAAGGGGGGTTTGTCTTGTTTTTTTTTGTTTTTGATTTTTTTTTGGCTACTCTGATCTTCCCAGATAATCTCTCCCACTTCGCACCTTCTGCTTTAAATCTCTGTTCTTTGTGTTCCTAGCTGTGTTTCCCACTAGACTCCACGGCCCATAAGGACCCTCCCCGTCCCTCCCCTCCTGGCATCTGTCAGGCACAGCAGATACTGGACAAATATTTGACAGACACGTGCAAGTGTCCCTTGGGTGTAAAATATGCAGCCATGGTAAATTTCCTGAAGAACAGCTGCCCTTGGTGGCGCATATACCCTTCAGACTTCTCAGGGTGGCATCTGTCCAAAGACCCAATTTTGTTTACCTCCTTCTCCCTGCTCCCAGGCTCCTTCAGCGCTGAAATTCTTCCTCTGCACGCTGCCACTTGCGGAGAGACCTGCCCGCCTCCCCCAGCGCCTCCCTCCTCCTCACCGCCGTGCTTCCCGTCTGTGCTGTGGGTGTCCTCCCCCGAGAGCTCGCCGCCCGTTTCCTGGGTGCAGTGCCCCATCTGCCAGTTGCACTTTGCAGTGAGCGAAGTCGAAGAACACGCCAGCGCATGCGGGGAAGCTCTTTAGGGCCGAGCCTGGCGTCCTGTGGTTTGGCCCCCACACTCTCTGACAAAGACTGGAGATGGAGCTCAGCAGCTGAGAAGGGCTGATGGTGCCAGGCCTCCGGCTCGGCCTCCCCCCACTCGTTCCCTCGGGACTCTGCCTGAAGGCCCCTCCGGGCCCAGCTTGCGCTCCTTTTCTAGTTGTCAAGACTCTGTCTCCATAGTACCCAGTTCTCCCAAGGACAGCTCCGTCTTTTTTACCTTTGGAACTTCTGGTAGAATTGGTGATCTCTCCAGGGCCTTGGGACACTAGCCAGAATGCCTTTCCCTCAGTGAGTTATACATCCTCATGCCTGTTTTCCTGAAAGGAAAACTGAGGCCCATTCCAACGAAAACTACTGCCTGAAAGATCAGATCCTTAGGTGATCTAGGAAGACCATAGTGAGTTCTGAGCATGAGCCTGACACCCAGAGTCCCATGAATTTAGCTTTCAGTATTCTATAGTAGGTATAATCAGGTAATAGCGCTGCTGTGTGACTTTCGCAAGTGATTTATCTTGGTCCCAGAATTAAGCTCAGTATCTGAGAGAAGCAGGCATGGTAGCATGCACCTGGAGTCCCAGCTACTTGGGAGGCTGAGGCAGAAAGATCACTCAAGCCTAGGAATTCAAGGCCAGCCTGAGCAACAGAGAGAGCCCCTGTCTCAAAAAGAGAAAAGCAGGCTACATACTTGTAGCCCTGGCTTTCAGGAGGCTGAGGCAGGAAGATTGTGAGTTTGTGGCCAGCCTGAACTACACAGAAAGTTCAAGGCCAGCCCGGACTACATAGCAAGACCTTGTCTCAAACAAACAAACAACCAAAGTAATTTAAGAGAAACTATCCTAGTCTGGGGTGGTGGTGCACACCTAAAATCCTAGCACTTGGGAGGCTAAGGCAGGAGGATCACAAGTTCAAGGCCAGTCTGGGTTACACTGAGTTTAAAGCCAGCCTGAATTACAGAGTGAGACCCTGTCTCAAAATAATAAGAGGGAGAGAGAAAATATCCTTCATCCCCTCTCCTCTCAGAACTCTTAGAGGGACCAGATAGGTTGACTAGGAATGGTTCTAGGCTTCTTTGAGGCCATTGGGCAAATCCCATTCCCCATTTGCACAATGAGGCAGTCAGACCGAAGTGTCTAAAGTTCCCTCAATCTGTGATATTCCAAATTCTTCTACCTTCTTTGAGCAACTGTGTACTCGCTCCCCTTTCCCAGAAGATTTCACTGTGTGGCGCTAACACAGTTCCCCTGGTCCCCAGGGTACCAGGGAGAGGGGGAGCAGCTGGTCCCAGCAAAGGGAGGGCGCAGGGCGGGGTTTTGAATGGGTAGGAAAGAGGGTGCTAGGTGCGTCCAGGGAGGCAGACGGAGCGGGAGTTCAGGCCTTCAGTCCCTGCCTGCGTAGGTGGGTGCAGCCATGGACCCCCTCACGGTAAGAGGCCCTCTGCTTCCCTACTTTCGCCTTCCCCTGCCTTCACCTGTCCTAATCCCATTTCTAGCTTGAACAAAATAATCAATTGGCCCAAAGGGGTGGCAGGGAGACCCTGGCTGCCGGCAGGCAGTAGGCATCACCACGCCAGTGGAAGAGCCCGTGGAGCCCTGAGCCCGGGCCAGAAGAAAAGAGCAGGAAGGATGGGAGCGGGCCTCTTAGAAGAAAGGGACAACAGTTCCCTGGGGAGGAAATGCCCTGCACAGCGGGCAAGTTCACGCCAAGATGGGCTGGTGGAGGAGGAGCACGTTGGCACCCAACTCGTAGTCCTGTTCGGGGTGGGGAGTGAGGACAGCCCGGCCCAGACCCTCCTGTGTGGACATGTCTGGACCTGCCCTTGAGAGAGGTGCTGTGGCCTTCAGAGAGATGAGCAGCTAGAAGATGAAGTCAACAAGACGGGAGCTGGGGCCTGGCCAGGCCCTGTGTGCCTGCGTGGGGTTAGGCCGGCTTCAACTGCCCTTGCTTGCTTGCATGCCCACAGGCGGCCCACGGGTGTGGGTTCCTGAGAGCGTGGAAGCTGAGCTGAGGAAGAGCCCCGTCTCCCTGTGACAGACCAGTTTGGCACTTCTGACTTAAGAATCTATACAATAAAATGGTGAATAAGATAGCTTTTGCCAGCGTGTGTTTGGGACAAGGGGCTGAGCAGAGAGGGTTAAACAAGTGGGTTGGAACTCAGGTCTTGCCCTCTCTACTACATCCAGCCACAGCCTAACTGGACTGAGATTGTGAACAAAAAGCTCAAGTTCCCACCTCCACTCCTGGGTGCCATCCAGGAGGGGCGTCTGGGTCTTGTGCAGCAGCTGCTGGAGGCCGGGGTGGAGGCCACGGGCAGCGGGCCAGGTGGGCCCCTGCGGAACGTGGAAGAGGCTGAGGACCGCTCCTGGAGAGAGGCGCTCAATCTGGCCATCCGCCTGGGCCATGAGGCCATCACCGACGTGCTGCTGGCCAACGTCAAGTTTGACTTCCGGCAGATCCACGAAGCGCTGCTAGTGGCAGTGGACACCAACCAGCCAGCAGTGGTGCGTCGCCTGCTGGCCCGGCTGGACCGCGAGAAGGGCCGCAAGGTCGACACTAGGTCCTTCTCTCTGGCTTTCTTTGACTCATCAATTGACGGCTCCCGCTTTGCACCTGGAGTCACTCCACTCACCTTGGCCTGCCAGAAGGACCTGTACGAGATCGCACAGCTGCTCATGGACCAGGGCCACACCATTGCCCGGCCCCACCCGGTCTCCTGTGCCTGCCTCGAGTGCAGCAACGCCCGCCGCTACGACCTGCTAAAGTTCTCCCTGTCGCGCATCAACACCTACCGCGGCATCGCCAGCAGGGCGCACCTCTCCCTGGCCAGTGAGGACGCCATGCTGGCCGCCTTCCAGCTCAGCCGTGAGCTTAGGCGCCTGGCCCGAAAGGAGCCTGAGTTTAAGGTTGGTTTCCCACAGCTCCCCTCAGGGCCTCAGGGCCCTGTATCTGTTCTTCCACAGGAGCAGGGCTGGGCCTGTGGTGGGTGTTCTGGGCAGTGGGGGGCAACAGGAAGAGGATGAGGAACAGCAGAAATCAGTGACTTCAGGGGCACCTAGGCTTATGGGACAGGCACAGCGCCATCCTAGGGGTGCCCTGGGTGTGTCTGAGGGGGAAGAAAGAACATAGAAAAGCAGCTGGGGAGACTGAGACATGACCGTCAGTCTCTGGGGTACCTGCTGTGTGTCTCACCCAGAGCACTGTGCTCTGGGGCTGTCAAGCTTGTGATCACGAGACGCTCCCCGGACTTGGCTCAGTGCCTTTGTAGATGGTGCTCAAGGGCTTCCAGGCCCAGCACAGAGCCCGGAAAGCCACCGCTGCTGTGCCCAGGAAAGGCTCCCCGGAGGAGGCGGGGTTCAGCTTAGCTGCAGGGGTGCGTGGTTTGGTACAAGTGACAGGGACCGTATCTGAGGCGGGGCCAGAGCCCCAGCGAGGACTGTGAGGGAGCAAGAGTGGAGGTGGGGGTGAGTGCAGAGGGCTTGCTGCAGGATGTAGAATGCAGGGAAACTGAGGCCTGGCAAGGGGAAGCACCTGACCCCGTATGGCAACACCTGAGGGTCAGTTACAGGAAGGAGCCTGGCCTCCTGAAGCCTGGCCTAGACCCTCTCTGGGGAAAGGAGCCCAAGGAAAACCAAGGGTAATACGAGTAACCTACGGTGTTCATTTCTGCATGTCCTGAAACTGCTACCACAGTTGTCCTGAAACTGCCAGCGTGGTTCTCCTATAATGTAAATTAAAAAAAAAAAAAAAAAAAAAAAATTTAAGTGAAGGTATAAGGATTAGAAGTTAAAGGGGGTCAGAAAATAAGAATTATGAAAGGAAAGTACAGTACAAGGAACAGGCAAAGGTGACAGAGAACCGAAGTGACTTAGTGGTGAGGTAGAGATACCACCAGCTAAGCAAAAGGTGACACAAGAGAGACCTCCTGATAGCGAGACGGATTGATGAGGTAGCAGGAAGGAGAAATCAATGACCCAGGGACACCAAGTGTAAAAGTGATGCCAGAGAGCTCAGCAAGGGAGCAGGATGAGTTGACGGCGCTGGACGCACGGGGTGGCTGAGACAGACCTCCTTCCCTGCAGCCTGAGTACATTGCTCTGGAGTCGCTGTGCCAGGACTACGGCTTTGAGCTGCTGGGCATGTGCCGGAACCAGAGCGAAGTCACTGCTGTGCTCAACGACCTGGGCGAGGACAGCGAGACTGAGCCCGAGGCTGAGGGCCTGGGCCTGGGCCAGGCCTTTGAGGAGGGAATCCCCAACCTGGCGAGGCTGCGGCTGGCGGTCAACTACAACCAGAAGCGGGTCAGCTGGGCCCTGTCCACCTCCCCTCCCTCCTTGACCCCTTGCCCTCCCACCTCCAAACGTCCCTCACGCCCATTCCACCAGATGCCTGGTCCTGCCCTCAGGACCTCGATTCTGAGCACTGTTTCGTCTCGGCCCTTGCAGGCAAGAAGGGAAGGTCTCTCCCCTCCCTTCTCACGTCACTCTAGCCCTTGCCCTGTTCTCTTGGAGGACCCATGATGCACCAGGCATCCACCTTCACTCACACTGGGACAGTCCACCTTAGAGCTTTGTCTCTGGCTGCTGAGTGACTTCAGCCTTGTTCTGCCGTTAGATTTCAGTGCCTCACTGTAGAGAGGATTACAGTAGATCTCTCAGAGATTGAATACCAAGTGGTTCTTTTATTTTCTGCCTCATTAGATATCCTTCCCCCAAGCTAAAACATGCTCCATTTGCAGCTTCTCCTGCCCCTTACTCCCTACTCTCATCGCCCTCAGGTAGAATAGCCAACTAGAACTTAACCAAAAGCTTTCCTTCATAGTGGCTCCCCTGGCCCTGGCCCTCCAAAACAGCAAACCTGCTTTCCCTCGCTCCTTCCTTCTTCAAACCATTCGGCCAGGTGTGGCACATGCCTGTGATCCCAGCACTGGGGAGGCTGAGACAAGGGGGTCTCCATAAGTTCAAGGACAGCCTGGGTTATATAGCAAGACCTTGTCTCAAAAAAAAAAAAAAGAAAAGAAAAGAAAAAGAAAAGAAAAGAAAGAAAGAAAAACAACCAAAAAGACCATTTAGACTGTTGGCCCAAATCTCTAAGAAGGCAGGGAACTGTGAGGGTTCTACCTACCACAGCCTGACTTAGATTCAGGAATGTGGAGTCCAGGAAAATCTTCAGAGGTCAGCTTCCTCCTTCACAGACAAGCTCAGAGAGGGCAGATGTGTCCAGGGTTGCACGGCAAGTGTGTGCCCTCTCTTCTGGGCTGGCTGGTGTGGGAAGAAAAGAAGGATGGTTCGATCTCTGTGGTGGGAAACGGGCTCTGCACCCAGCTGGCCCCTGTTCCCCCTCGCCTGGTGGGTGCCCCCTCTCATGCTCCATCTCTGCTTAGTTTGTAGCGCACCCCATCTGCCAGCAAGTCCTGTCCTCCATCTGGTGCGGGAATCTGGCTGGCTGGCGTGGAAGCACCACCATCTGGAAGCTCTTTGTCGCCTTCCTCATCTTCCTCACCATGCCCTTCCTCTGCATTGGCTACTGGCTGGCGCCCAAGTCCCGGGTACTAAGTCTAAGATTAGGCAGCACTCATGTAGTGAACAGTTTATGTCAGGCTAGGCATAATCCCAAGTCTGGGTGCTTAGCAAATGTTCCCATGCAGTAGCACGGGAAGCAGGTCTGGAAGGTAAGCATCACTCTACTGCCGGAGGGAGGAGGACCCTCGGGTGCAGGAAATGGAACTGCTTTCTTCGTCCAGAGTTCACAGCAAATAGCAGTCGGGATGTCAGCTAAGTTCTGTCTGCCTCCAAAGCTTGAGTCTCTTGTCTAGCCCTCTTTTCTCCTTCCCCAAGCAAGTATTTCCTTGAGACCCCACTGTGAGCAAGGCATTTGCCTGGCCCTGGGATATGACGCAGAATGAAGGCTGTTTCTGAGAACCAGATGAGGAGCAGGGAAGTGTCTGGGAAAGGGAATGGCATGGGAGAAGGCCGAGGGCAGGGAGAGTGCACGGCAGCAGAGAAACTAAGGCATAGGGAGCAGTGATGTGGGCGGGGCCGGAGTTTGCAAGCGGGTTCAGAATGGAAGTCACTGCAGAGTTGAGGAAGCAAATGTCCTCACTGGCTCTATGTGGTGCAAAGCTTCTGCTACTGGTGGGAAAGACGGATTAAGGAGAGGGGGCCAGATTCAGGGCACCGTCAGAGTGCCTTCATGTGACAGACAGTTCCTGGCCAGTTGACCACGTTATTTTATGTGGTCGAAGGAGCAAATTTAGGGCAGAAGTGAAGAATTTACCTTCTAGCTTGCTTGAGTTTGGTCCCTGCAGGAAGGATCCCAAGGGAAAGTTACTTTACCTCTGTGACTGTCAGTCTCATTGGTATGAGACTAATACCCGCCTCATATGGTTGTGAAGGTGTCGACAGACAGGAAAGTGTGGGAGCGGAGTGCACCTGTAATCCTAGCGCTCTGGGTGGTTGAGTCAGGAAAACTGTAAGTTCAAATGTAGCCTTGGCATCCTAGTGAATTAGTGAGACCCTGTCTCAAAATAAAAACAAATAAATAAAAGAAGAGGGGCTGGGGATGTAACTCAGGGCTGGGGATGTAACTCAGAAGAGGTGCTGGGGATGTAACTCAGGATGTAACAAACAATCAAACAAACAAAAGTATAGGTGTATAGGTCCTTATACATCTTCAGTAATTGTCTGAATACACGAGCGGGCGAAGCTGAGAAAAGCAGAGCTGTGTGTGGGCTGAACAGTCTGGCAGGGCTCCCTGGAGGGGAGATGATGGGACCTTGAGAGCCGTGTTCTCCCACTCTCCCCAAAGCTGGGCCGTCTGCTAAAGATCCCAGTGCTGAAGTTCCTGCTGCACTCTGCTTCCTACCTGTGGTTCCTCATTTTCCTGCTGGGAGAGTCCCTGGCCATGGAGACACAGCTGAGCACCTTCATCGGCCGCAGCCAGACCGTCTGGGAGACGTCACTGCACATGATTTGGGTCACAGGTACGTGTGCGGGGCTCTTTATTTGTGGTATTTCCCTTGGGGCCCTTTACTGTCCTTCATGATCAGCTTCCCAATTCCGGGGACTTTGCTTCCATAGATGTCCTTCCCTTTGCCCCTAAATCAGGGAACCTAGCCCTGTAGCAGACTCTCTGAGCAAGGACCCCATTTTGCCCCTTCCCTGGCACCTGCCACCACCCACTCTGGAGGTTCCTGTCTTCTCACAGTGACATAGCTGCCCACAGCGTCAGGTGGGACTTGTCTTGGTAGAAAAGTAGTCCCCGAGTACACTACCAGATAAACTGTCCAGAGGTGTGGGACAGAAAGGCTCACAGACCAAGAAAAATGCTGGGATCGTACCATTTATTGTACTCCTAAGTTGCGCAGGCATGGTAGTGTCCTTGGGAGGACACTGCACAGAGGCTGCCTTGGGTACCACTTGATCTGAGTGAGCAACAGTAGCAAGTGTGGCTGGGCATAGCAGTAGCTTGCAGTTAGCCTGATGAACAGCTATGACTCTTCTGTGCATTCTTTGGGCATAGAATATAGGGAGTAGATGTGGGGGTCAGCATCTGGTTTAAGATTTCACAAGTACTGAGGGCCTTCTCTGCCTGTGTATGTTCAGTGTGTCCTGAGTATCTGGTGTCTGTGTGTTCACATACGGCTCTGCTCACTTTACCCATTCAACTCGTCACCCAGGCAACTAACTCATCTATGCCGGACACGTTTCATCCATTCCATACGTTTTCTCTTCTATATCAGAGCCAAGTTTTCTCAAACAATTCAGCAGATGTAGTTTGCAAGAACCCCAGAGCTCCATGCTGCCCGCAGATCTCTAATTGGGCAGCTCAGCAGGCTGGACTGGGGATCCCTCCCTCAGCTGTCTTCCCCACTGAGCTCCAGCTTAGTTAGCAAACTCCCAAGTCACCAATATGTCAAGTCCAATGCTCCTCCTTGTGCCAAGCTAGTCAGCGATGGCCAAAAGGAAATTGGACCAAGACCCTCTGGGGAAAGAAAGCAGAGCAGCACAAGAGGGACAGCTTCTCATCCATTATCCACTGAACAGTTATTGACCTGAGTGGAAATGAAGCCAACACAGTTCTGTGAGGGAAGAAAAGTCTTGTAAACACGTACAGCAAAACTCATTCATTCAGGCAGTAAATGTTTGCTGAGGCGCTACTATGAGTGAAGCCGTAAGAGTACCTGGACCCATTAAACACAGTTCCATCCAGTCAACAAGTACTCACTGAGCGTCAACCCCCACACAAGAAACTCCCCTGCCATATAGCACTGACTATAGCTCCTGACCACATCATATGTGATGTGATCAAAATATACAGTGTTTGAATTTTTAAGATTTATTACAGTAAAAGACATATTGCCATTGGTTCCCCTCAAAATAGTTACCCTGGCTCTGAACACACTTATCCCATTGTCTTGGCACTTTCTGAAGCAGTTCTGGGAACCCTCCTGGTTTGTTTTTTGTTTGTTGTTGTTGTTGTTGTTGTTTTGGTTTGTTTGAGACTAGGTTTCACTATGTAGTTCAGGCTGGCCTTGAACTCACTATGTAGCTGAGACTGGCCTCAAACTCTTATTGATCCTCCTGCTTTAGCTACCTGAGTGCTGGGATTATAGGCATGCACCATCACACCTGGCTCTGGAAATCCTCTTTCATGGGCATCTTTAAAAGATGTAATTTTTTTTTTGAGACGTAAATTTTTTTTTGAGGTCTCACTATGTAACTCAGACTACCCTTAAACTCACTATATAGCCTAAGTTGACCTCGAACTCACAGCAATCCTCCTGCCTCAGCCTCCCAAGTACTGGGATTACAGGCATGTAGCACCATGCCAGGCACATAAGATGTATTTTAAAAATATAGTGAATGCTGCTGCTAAGTGCCACACAATGGAAAAGCAGTCTTATAAAAATATTAGTGTGTCCTCAACCACTTTATTCCCTGGATCAGGTACTGTGTGACTTCTGGCTCTTTTCTAAAGTCAAAATGATTGTGAAAGGTAATTATTTTGAATCAGTTCAGGACATTGAGGCAGCCACAACACACAGCTAAAGGCTTTCATAAAAGTGGACATCCAGAACTGCTTCAGAAAGTGGCAAGGACTGGATAAATGGTTTTGAAACAAGGAGTAGTATTTTAAAGAGGATCAATGTGTCTTTTACTGTAATAATTTTAAACTTTTTTAACATTCACCGTATTTTCTGATCATGCCATGTATTCCCACTTGTCTTCCCAGCATTTGCACTTGCATTTTTCCAATATCACAAACCCCTTCCATGCTGCCCCTTTACCTGGCTGGTTCCTTTTCCTCCTTCAGCCTCAACTTGGATGTTACTTTCTTTGAGAAGCTCTCCCTGAGCCCCAAATCCAAGGAAGATCCATCCCTAAACAGCCCCTCCCGTACCCTGCTCCCCCAGCTTGCCTTGTATCTCCTTGCCTGTCTCCCTCACTAGATTCCCAGCCCCGCAAGGATAGAGCTATGCCATCTTTTCCACCACAGCACCCTACTGACATATGGTAGGAGCTTAATAAATATTTAATTTGTTCTGGGAACTGGGGACAAGGATATGAATTAGACACAGTCCCCGTCCTCGAGGGGCTCCAAGTCTGGCCAGAAGGGCAGACCCACAGAGAGACATAGCAGTGCCCCGTGGTGATAGCGTCACAGAGGTATGAACAGAACAGGGAGAGCACAGAGCAGGGAGAGCTAACTCACTCCACCTGCTCGGGATGCTTTGCAAGGAAGCGGTGTTTGACCTGGGTCACAAGCATGACTTGGGCATTTTAGGTGGGGGACAGTGAGTGAAGGGAGTGGGAAGGAGCACAAAAGGTGCCCAGATCAACTTGCTAATGGGTACTAGCACCAACGACCTTCCCACTGAGACGTGGCACTGAGCAGGTTGATAATTGAGAGTGCTTTCAAATCGCATCAACGTTCTTTAAATGTTCACCTATTATTTACTTGGTGGAGGGTAAGGGGAACAGATGTCAATCTCTACCTCCCAATACAGCTTCAGCCAGGTGTCCCTCACTTCCAAGTGTCAACTGCCTGTGATCCTTGGTGCAAGTCACACCAGCCCTGAGAAGCAACCACCTCAACAAAGACTTTATTGTTGCGTATGATCACATTGCACCTGGATAGATTACATATTTGCATCTTGATGTTTTATCTCCCCACTCCCACAAGAGGGTGCCCCCTCCCCATAATCTGCCTCTGACCTAGGAGGAGGAGGGAAGTTCCACCCCTCTGTCCTGACCCCTGCCTCCCTCTGCAGGCTTCCTGTGGTTTGAATGTAAGGAGGTGTGGATCGAGGGCCTGCGAAGCTACCTCCTGGACTGGTGGAACTTCCTGGATGTGGTCATCCTGTCCCTGTACCTGGCAGCCTTTGCCCTGCGCCTCCTCATCGCTGGGCTTGCCTTTGTGTCCTGCAGGGATGCCTCTGACAGTGCCGCCTGCCACTATTTCACCACGGCCGGTGAGTGTCCCCACGACTCGGCCCTCAGTCCCCTAGTGCCTACTGTTCCTCTGCTCTCAGCCACTCCCCCCACCCAACCCTGCACAGAGCGAAGTGAGTGGCGCACCGAGGATCCCCAGTTCTTGGCTGAGGTGCTCTTTGCTGTCACCAGCATGCTCAGCTTCACCCGGCTGGCCTACATTCTGCCGGCCCACGAATCGCTGGGCACCCTGCAGATTTCCATCGGCAGGATGATCGATGACATGATCCGGTGCGTACTGTCCCTCCTCAGAGCACCCTCCTCTCTGATACTCTCCATCTGACCTGCAATTCCTCAGCCCTAGTGTAGTGCAGTCCTGGGGTTGGGAGCTGATCCCCATTAGCGAGGTGCTCTTGCCACCTTGGGCTCCTCGTGCCCCATCTCTCTTCCCGGAGCCTGACTTCTCCCAGGGTGGAGGCCTGCTCTGACCCTCCCACCCCGACCCTCTGCCAGGTTCATGTTCATCCTCATGATCATCCTGACTGCCTTCCTCTGTGGCCTCAACAACATCTATGTGCCCTACCAGGAGACAGAACAGCTGGGCAAGTAAGAGGAGGGCAAAGGAGGGCAGCAAGCGGGGAGTCTGCAGCCTGACTGCCTCTTTCTCCTTCCTTCATTTATTCGCTCAGTTCTCTGAACTGATTCTTTTCTCATTGGATCACTCTGTCCCTCATTCATTTATGCATTTGCTTATTCACTCATCTGTTCCTCACACTTAATTTTATCCTACCACATACCCTTTACCTACTCTCTTTTTCCTTTACCTAGTTACTTTGTTTTGTTTTGTTTTGTTTTTTGTCGTTTAGAGACAGGGTCTCGCTATGCAGTTCAGGCTGGCCTTGAGCTCACTTTGTAGCCCAGGCTGGTCTCAAACTCAAGATGATCCTCCTGTCTCAGCTTCCTGAATGCTGGGATTACAGGCGTATGCCACCATGCCCAGCAACTCCTTTACCTAGTTTCAATTGTTACTAATTTTCTACATCTGCTTATCTATTATTGTCTTCAGTCTTTTTTCTCCTGAAACATTTAAAAGTTGTAAATATCATGACACTTCACCCCTAAATAGTTCAGGATGTCTCTGAAGAGGATAACCACAAAATCACTATCACATTAAAAAATGTAAGGCCTGGGGGGATGTATGTAGCTCAGTGATAGAGCACTTGCTTAGCATATACAAGCCCCTAAGTTCAATCCCCAAGGCACACACACAAAAAAAGAAATTTAATATTCATACTATAATAATACTGTGCAGTCCTTATTCAAATTTCCCCAATTGCCAAAAAAGTCTTACTATATGTTTTAAAATCTCATAGCCAATCTAGAATTATGCATTGCATTGTATTGTTGTATCTCTTTAGTCTCCTTTAATCTAGAATATGCCCTCTATTTTTCCGTGTCCTGCCTGACAATTGAACTTTTTTTTTTTTTTTTTTTTTTTTGCCTTTTTGAGACAGGGTCG